TGATGACGTCACTTTCGGTTTCTATCTCTTCCGACTCTGACGTCACATGCACCTAGTTCTTGAAGCAGTTGATACTCAAGGTGCTCCTAATCCATCCTACACCTAAATGTCAGGATAATCAATGGTGTACTCACCATCTGATTCTGCCGGTGTCAAATATATGCCCTCTAGGTCTGGCTGCACCTTACGTAAGTAAAAGCTGATGAAGGTGTTTTGTGAGGCCCACTGTCAGCTAGACACCATTTGTTCCACCAAAATGGATGTCCATGAAGCGAGACTCATGGCTAGGGCTCTGATTTTATGAGCTGAGCAGGATCAAAGATGGGGACTGGAATTCTGTGCCTGCGTATAACTCGCTGCAACAGTAGACTTAAGCCAGCCCGTTACTGTAACCTTGGTGATGTCATCGTTGAAATGAGGCTTGCAGGATATGAAAAGTCTCCTTCGATGGCATCTATGTGGATCTGTAGCCAAGAGGTAGAATTTGAGAGCTCTGATGGGAAGTCTGTCTGGGTGATCCACTGTTGCCCCAAGGCAGGAATGGTAATGGTATAGTGTTTATGGCCCAACCTCCCCATATTTGTAGACTGATTTATGGCTACAAAATCTGGTAGCGATCTTAAAGTGATTGAGGTCCAATGTTGACCATGTGTGAGACTAGAATAGTCCAGAGCATGGAGTTCTGAAACTCTTGCTGCTGTCGCCAAGGCTAGGAGGGAGGATGCTTTCCTTGATGTTTTTTAGTTAGGTGGATTTTTGCTAGCCAGGGGCTTGTAAGGTTCTGTCAAAAGTGCCGATAACATAACAAATAGATTCCACTTGGGGAAGATTCAGGTGTGCAAACATCTTCAAGTAGGAAGGATCTCATTTGTCTGTTTAGAATGAGATGGTTTCCAATTGAGAGTCTGTCATGTTGAAGTACAGAGTGAAGTGCCGATCAGTAACTTTCTATCGTCCCATGTCGGAACTTATTGGCCTGACGTAGATGTAGTAGAAAGTCTGTTACCATAGGGATGGATATTGTATTAGTTATAATCCCTTGTCGTCTTCTCCACTGGATGAACTTATCCCATCTGTTGTCATATATAAGGGAGGATGAAGGTCTCCATGATCTCACAGCTTCAGAGGCAAGTCCAGAGTACCCGGATGTCTGCATCTTTTGCTCGATAACTTCCAGGCAGTTAGATGTAGACTGGGCAGATTGTTGAAGAAAATGTTTGACTTTGGCTGTCGTAACAGATCTCAATGGAGAGGTAACTGGAGAGGCTCTTCCATTAATAGACTTAACAATTTTGGGAACCACGCTCTACTGGGCCAGATTGGTACTATCAGGATTATCATGCAATCCGTCTCCTCCACCTTGTGGATGACCTTCCCTAGGAGAAACCATGGTGGGAATGTGTATGCGAATAGATCCGTCCAATCCATCGATTGCGCATCGACCTGGTGAGCCATTGGATCGGGAACTGGACTGACATAAACCGGAAGTTGATGGTTCAGGCAGGTGGCAAAGATATCTCGATGCGGTATGTCCCATAACCTGGTTATCCATGCAAAGATCTCGGGATGTTAGGTCATTTTGTTGCCATTATACTCCCCTGGCGGGAAAGGCTGTGGGCAAGGATATTCAGCTTCCCTGGAATATTTCCCGCATCCATCCGGCAACTGGATCATCAGAGAACTGGATCTGGTTCCTCCTTGTAACTGGATGTATGCCACTACTGTGGTGTTGTCCGTGGCAATGAGGATGGACGATTGGGAGAGACCTATTTTCCATGCCACGATGGTTAATAAATGGCCTTCAGTTCCCTGCAGTTGATATGTAGGATCCTCTCTCCATACCGTAAGATCATCCATATGGGCTCCCAATCCCGAATCTGACGTGTCTGTAAATAGATGATGTTCGGGCGTCAGAGAAGTCAGAGGAATGCCGCTCATCACATGCTCTCTGTGAGTCCACCCATGCAGGTCCTGTAATAAGTTGAGAGGTAACTGAGTCTTGAACTCTAGGGTGCGGGATCGTAGTGAGTTGATCCATGTCTGTAGAGGATGTAATATCAACCTTCCTCTGAAGGTCATATCCTGTATAGACGCTAGGTTGCCTAGAAGAGACATCCACCACCTTTTAGACCTGCTGGGTTGAATTGATAGGGATTGAATCATTGTAATAGTGTTGATGAATTGATCCCCTGGTGGACATAGATATCCCATGTGTAGTTGGAAATGCACTCCGATGTATGTCTTGAACCAGAGTGGTCTCGGACTTGAAGGGATTGACTAGGAAGCCTAGGTAGGTCATAAGCTGAACCAGAAATAGCTTTGGCCTCAGCAGTGAAGATTAAAGTACCTACTGTATTTTCTTGAGTAAAGTGCACACCAAAGTATAATGCTCACCCCCTCTAGCGGATTCAGTATTTCGGTAATTTTTTTTGAATATTAAGCACAGAGAAAATTACACCATGCCCCTTCAGTGAATTCTGGTATACATACGGGTGATAAGAAACTTGGTCAGGGGCGGTACTCATAAAAGAACTTAAGTCGGAAAAAAAACTTAAGTCTTGAAAAAAACTAAGTTTTTTACCTTTTCTGACTTAAGTTTTAAGATTTTACTTAAGTCATATTCATGAAGCGACTTAGGCTTAAGTTTTACCAATTTCTGACTTAAATCTTAAGACTGGGTAGGGGTAGGCTTAACTACAAGGTGTTTGACTTAAGTCAGTAAACAAAATGGCTGCCGTACCGCTAGGTCGTCGTTCGTTTCATCAAAGAAGACAAAGTCTTGTTGAATACAACGATGAGGAGTTGATACGGCGATACCGTTTAGATGGAAATGGCATTAGGTACGTAGCTAATTTAATAGCAGCTGACGTGGAGCCTGCAACCAACCGTAACCATGAACTTGACGAGATACAAAAGACGCTGATCACATTAAGGTACTTTGCAACGGGAAAGTTTCAGTTGTGTAATGCAGATGATCAAGGTGTCACCCAGCCCACCATTTCCAGAGTTGTAAATCAGTGTATCACCTGTTTGTCATCTGAAAGGATTGTGAAACAGTTTGTCCGCTTCCCCCTGCAACTCGGGGACATTAGGCGTCACCAAACAAACTTTTATCACATTGCGAACTTTCCTGGAGTTGTCGGGGTGATCGATGGAACCCACGTACAAATCCAGGCACCAACAGTAAACAAAAATGAATACGTAAACCGACATCATTATCATAGCATAAATACGCAGATCGCTTTTGACAGCGACGACAGAGTCATTGATGTTGTTGCTCGGTAGCCGGGATCGACACACGATTCACGCATGTTGACAAACAGCGGGCTCTACCAGCTTTTCGAGCGCAATGTTGTCCCCATCGGATGTCACCTTCTCGGTGACAGTGGTTATCCCTGCAAGAACTGGCTACTTACCCCTTTCCTAAGACCATTGCCGGGACCACAAACAAACTACAACAGGTATGTAAAGTTTCATGTTACGTTGCCGAGCGTAATCAACAACTTAGAGTGATGTCCCTTGTATTTGCCTCGATTACATATTTGCCCCTCTTTCTTTCATAGAGCACAAACACAATATTTGGTCTGGATAATCGAAGCAATTACAAAAATTACAAAAACATTCTTATTAAAATACGGAATATTATTCACACCATAACCATATGTTTTTATTATAACATCTATTATTATGTCTTTGTTAGTTGTTCTAAATGTACAAGTAATCATGTGCTGTTTTGGTAAACATTGCTGAATATTTGTGGTAATTAGGAATATTTCTTTTAAACATTACCGGTATGAATTTCCTACATAATCTAAAGTGTAAATTATTGTTTTCACATGATCAAAATTATTTCTTCAACAAGTGACATTTATCAATAAAAAGATAAATATATATTTCTTAAACCCCGTTGAAGATTAATGTTACAGGTTACACTCTGATATGTTATGTTATTTTCAGGTCACACAAAAGAACCAGGAGCACCTGAGAAGGCTTGTAAGGTAAAAATTATGATCAACAAATGTTAATTTGTGTGCACTATTTATTTGCCACACAAATAAGTTCAACAGAACAAAAATGTAACAAGGCTAAATGACAATAAATATATAAAATAACAATTCCTAGAGAGGAAAGCAATGATTGAAAAAAGCAACAAGATTTTATTGAGTTACATAATTATGTCAAACATGGTTGTTTGAATTTATGTTAACAAATGCCATTGAGAATATGAAAAGAACAATGCAGTGGCTCATCATCTATTAAAGTTTGTACATGGACATGAACATGTTCAGATTGACTTGTATCTAAATCAAGTGAATATATAGTGAATATATATATACAGTTTTGTATTTAAGGCAATAACAGGGCAGTTGTAGATTGGTAATGACTAGGAGCAGATAAGGGAAATGATGGGGTTGTATGAACTTATTCGTTATTTACAGTAATATTTGTATGTTCAACTGAGGCCAGGTAAAAGCCTAAATGTTAAGTGTAATGATGTTAATTTATCATTAATGATTTCATATTTTAGGTGATAATAGCATGTGCTGTCCTACACAATATTTGCAAGGACAGAAATATCCCAGTTCCACCCACTGATGGGCATGATGGACTTGGCAGGCTCGATGGGCAGAATGGAGCTCAAGCAGTGACTGCTCCACCAGTAGCTGCACTCAGATACCGGGAGCACTTTGCCAATACCAACTTTCCATGTAAGATTATTTTATTTTAATTTTCAACATTTCCTCATAATAAATCCAATTTGTATCAGCAGTACATTCTTTGCAAAGTATCTTTAGTTTTTAATCATCTTAATTATCCCTCACCCTCTTAAATATACAATATTCTAAATGCAATGTAGTGAATGTACTATTTCTCAAAAATGTTCCACAATGGTCTTTCTACCAGAATCTGTTGTATCATAACATTGGGCTTACCGATAGTATGTATTGTGACATTAAATATTCAAATATATAAATAATTCTTTAATGCCCAAACAACATGTATGATACTTTTAGCTAATTCAGTTTCGTGATTGTCAATTTAAGGTATTCCTTTTTCAAAGTGAGACATTCAATTTCAAGCTTTAATTTTTGCTTCAACAGAGTTTCCACGGTTGGTGAAGTGAGGGACCCTGTGACATCTGGCTCCTTGGAATACATGTTGGCTCCTTCTGGTTGAGGATGTGGATCTGACATGGCAGTGTCATAAATCTCCCTGAAACAGAAAATATTAAAGTTTTAATTGTAATTTTCACATAAATGTTCTTTTCAATTTCAACAAGCCTGTTGTTTTGTGTTATTATAATGAGAACATTTACATTTATAATCATATCACAATTGTTTAAATAACAATTGACTTAATTTGTGTTGAGGTGTTGATATTATAAAAAAAATATACATTTATACTAAGTTTTCAAATAATAATTAGGTCCACAGCAAGTGGTTTTATAAGTTATTCATGGTGTAACATTTATACAAACTTTCATGTGATTACAGAACAGCAAGTTATACATATTAGGATCCAGGGAAAATGTAAATACCAAGTATTAGTAGTTTCAGTTAAAGCTTTTTCGATAGATGCTAGCCTAGCTAAGGTAACATGAACCTATCTCCCAGACATACTATTCAACAAGATAAAAGTTATGTATACATGGTTTTATAGATTCAAAGCTTTTAGATAAAAACTAGCCAAAGGTAACAAGATCCCATCTCCCAGACATAATATCTAATAAGACAAAAGATAGTGTTATAGATTGCCTTGAACTATTTTATTTAAGCAAATCTGTCATCACCTATACTAGAATAACATTCAGAAAATACTTCAATTTGGACTCATTAAGGATAAGCCATATACAAGCTCATCTATAATGATACCATAATCTCTTTCCAAGCACCCAGTATTTATGTCAGAACAGAACCATGATAATTTTCTAACCCGAAAGGTATCTCATATCATTGATGTACCTGTCAGTAGGTGGCATCAAATCCAGCACCTGCAGCATTGTCGTGTCAGTTGAACCTGGCACACCAGTTAGGGTCACGTTGTCCTGGCCTAAGATATCAATGACTGCATTGGTCACTGGGCTGATTGGTGCTGGTGCTGGTCCACCTCCTGTATAAACATTTAATTACAAACTGTAATTTTTTATATCGTTTAAAATTTTATTATATATGTTCGTTAATGGAAGGGATAAGACAATGAAATTTCTAATCATCATCATTATCTAAATGTATTTTGGAAATAATATTCTTCATACAAAAATACACAGAACATTATGATTGATAATTGATCTATTGGTAATACCGTATTTATAATGACCATTGATAGAAGAGTTGTCATGCAATAACCCTGACTTGAATACAGTATGTATGAAGGGAAGAAAAGTACTTGCCAGTTCCTTTTGTCAGTTTCCCAAATTCGGAGTACTTGTGTTTTGCCTGGCTTTTCACGTTCTTCCATTTTTTTTCCACCTCTTCCTTTGTTCTCGGGTGTGAACCAGAGGAATTGAGGGTAGCTGTAATAACCTGTAGAGTTAAGGGAAAGTAGTAAGTGTCTTACAATTGTGGAAATATGAAGATAATAAGGGGCCAAACATTTTGTGAGGGTGCTGAGATTATATTAAAAAAGTAGTCTGATCCCAAATATATATAAAAAATATTTAATTTAAAAGTTAATTTATTCAGCCAACAATTAAGATGTTAATATTTTGGATATCACTTCAAGATTTCATATTTAGCCCCAAGTCTGCTGCAAGGGCACTGTCAGTTAAAAAAAACAAATTGGAAATAACAAATGTCCCAGTTTATGATAGTAATAGAATATGTTATGGCTATAGCAGAGGTGACTTAAATTCCACTGATAACAGGACCAATCACCAATAGTGATGATTTCATGCTCAGTGGTAGAATGTTGCATTAAATCTACATGCAGTGGTAAATCATGCATTTATAATCGCTTGATTGGCGTACTAATATATCTCGGATAAGTTAAACTAGTAGATGTTCACTGCTAAAATATAACTTTATAAAACTCATGTCTGGTGTAAATACTACATTTGTGTACAACGACTGCCTGAGTGACAGACAACGATAAGTGTCACTGTACCTGCCACGCCTCTTGACGCCTCGCCGATGTCACGCCCGGACCAAACTTTCCTTCCAACACATGTACATTTGCTTTCACTAGTTCCGTCAACAGTAAAACCTCCTCTTTCGTCCAGTTTGGCTTCCTCTTCTTCATATCTGCCTCTGACATGACGTTGGCAATGTGGACAAAGTTTCGCTGTGTGTGTCGTCTGCCGTAAATAGCAACCGGGAAATCCAATCGAAAAAGACGTTCACACCTTTTTTTTTAAAGAGTTCCACCAGAAGTTTAAAAATAGACGGGATTCCCCTTAGTGATCACGCGGGTACGTACTACGAAACTGACTTAGTTTTTCTTTTGATACTTAGCTAAGTTTCGGACTTAGCATCTTTATGAATATCAAGTTAAGTCTCAGACTTAGCTAAGTCAGATTTCTAAAACTTAAGTTTAGACTTAAGAAAAATCTTAGTGTCTTTATGAATACCGCCCCAGTACGATAGAAAATCACCAGACATGTTGATTTACCATTAAAATTGTATTTTCTGTTCTGTTAGGCATTGTTTTACATCCAGGGATTAAGATTACCTTGTGTATTTTCTCGGTTTCTAAGCCGGACGGAAACAGCAATCAGTTGTACACATGTTTTCTTGGAATCTACCAGTGATTGGGTTAAAACATACCCTATGATCAGGAAAAAGGGTACCTGAAACTACTTTTTTATCGGGAATACTTCATTCCAATATCTTGTTATTTTAGTTGCAGCTTTTACTAAATGTATTTAAAATAATAAGAACTTTGGTGCAGCTGATCGCTATTGCCGGTTATTTTATTTCACATGGAACAATTTGACCAGTCACCGTTGAGGCTCCCATGCCCATGATCGCGAGAACTACATGTTGACAAAGAATCATCAAAATACAACAAATATGACTTTTAATGAGTCAAAGTATTGCATTTATGATATATGTATCCATTCTCTGTCAACTAAAGTTTGTTTCAGGGCATCAATAGCTTTTATCTGACCATGGTTTCTGTCAACACCGGTGAGTTGTGCGATCTTCTGATCACTTCACACATGATTTCGCCGAAATGAATTAAAGCAGTATTAAAAGGAATTTTGAATAAAATTAATGAAATAGGTTACAAACATTAGTCTAGATATACAATGTACACTTTTTATAACAAGACAGTGTAATTACATGATTAATTTGCGTACTTCAGTATGGATTTGTTGACATGGTATTCCCGTTGTTACGTGCATATGGTAATGTCTCTGCGTTGGGGGAAAAAAACATTAAAACTCATTATGGCATGTATAATACACACACCCTTTGTGTTTCTGGAAAAACTACAGAAAAGTGCACACTATACTCAAGAAAATATGGTATTATCTGGGATTATAGAGGTTTGGTTTGGATCTGATGATGTTGGCACTTGCAACTTTGACACCATCCTTGGACCTCTTAACTAAAAGGAAACTAACAGAAGCAGTCCACATTTGCTGCCACAAGCCATCAATCAACAGAGATCAAGGCTCTTTCACCCGATCCACCTACTATGAACTCATAAAGCAATAATCACCACACCTATGTATACTGTTGGGTTATTAAACTAGCTAGTGTTATTATACACTAGCTTGTTTACAACTACCAATTTCAATTACAGATATTACATCTTTCCCTCCTCAAAATATAAATAAATAACCTTTGATAAACAACATAGTATTTGTAAGGTATAAGTAACTTAACAATGTACACTGCTCCATATACAAGGTACTAATAACCCTGAAAACTTGACAATGTACAGTCATAATGAAAACATTATTAATTGTCGTAATTCAAATAAACTGGGTTTTTTAGACACATAATAATATTGACAATCTGTTGAAGTATACTCCTAAAAAAAAGAAACGCAATACGGATATAAAAGCAAAATTAGCGGACCAAGAGGTGTAAAATGAAAAGGTTTAATGTGTTATAGTGTCAGTGACAAATTTGCCGGATTCGTGTCGTGAACACAGGGTATCGCCTCAACTGCGCTGGAGATATGTCTGGTTCAGCGACGAATCAAGATTTCTCCTCCGGATCACAAGAGCCTGTCTACACAACAACGTTGATCTTCTTTTTATACAATTGCAAACGGATAATGACATGCATCTAACTTCTTTGATAGGCATTTAGAAGTTGGAGTACTAAGTAAGGATAAGAATTTATGGATGAACAACTTCTTTATTACAATTAAGAGCGACGTTTCGGTGTAGGTTCTAACACCGTTATCAAGCAAGTGATTTACAGAGTGTGGTTACTTACTTACTTATATTAGAGATTTTACGTGCGCTTTCCGACTGCAGCGTATTTCGCACACGGGCCTGGCCAGGCGTTTAATGTGTTTCCGAAAAGGGGAAAAAGTTGTTTGGCAATCCAGTAGGGGTGTTTTAGTGGTTGCTTATATAGAATTTTGGAAATTTTGAGACTTGGAAAAAATGCCAAGAGGGTTTGGGGGGCGAACTAAGGGAGCTGAGTATGGAAGTTTGTTAGTTTGATTATGTGGTTTGGTTTTGGTAGTTTATTGGGGTTTTAAATGCAATTTATTAGTCCTGTTTTGATTAAGTATACGCCTAAGGCTTTGAATTTTTCTATTTTATTTTGTGGGTTTAGGATTGCTTCTAGAGTAAGAGCCTTATTTAGATTTAGGGTGGTTTGTAGTGTAGTTCGGTGTGTTAGGTAGTGGGTGCAGTGTATGAGTGCGTGTTCTGGGGTTTATTGTTGTTTGCAATGTGGGCAGGTTCCTGTTGCGTGTATTTTTTATTATTTTGAGGTGGTTATTTAGGTTGGTATGTCCTGTTTGGAGTTTAGTGATTACTCTGTCGATTTTTTGGGACGGATGTAGAATTTTTGGTTTGGTTAGGGGTGTTTTGAGAACCTTTTTGATTTGGCTATTTGAGTTTAGATATAAGTTATGCCATTTTTTGGTGTTTGTTGACACTTTTAATTTCTGATTTGGAGATGGGTAGGTTTAAGCTTATTTCTGGGATTTTAAGGGATAGTTTAGCTGCTTTATCGGCATTTTCATTGCCGTATATTCCTACCTGGGCGGGGATCCAAATGAATACTATTTGTTTGCCTGCCATAGTTAAATCGTTTGAGCTTTTTAGTATTTGATTTATTCGTTCAGGGCGGTTTTTTGGTGTTTTTATTTTGGAGGGCTTGTAGTCGGTAAGCATTAGGATTTTTTGTTGTTTTTTAGATTGTTGATTATGAAGGGCTGAGGCCATGCCCATTAGTTCGGATGTGAATATTGATTGATTTTTTGGGAGTCGGTAGGATTGTGTGGCTTTAGTTGGTTGTGTGATGTGGACTCCTAAACCAGTGTGTTTAGAGATCGGATCTGAGGATCCGTCTGTGTAAATGTTACACCAATTTGGCCAATTTTCATGAATGTATGCTAGTGTGGTGGTTTTTGCTATGTTTGGGTCGGTTTGTTTATTTATTGTGCTAACTAGTGTTATGTCTATTCTGGGTGTTTTAAGTTTTGGGGTGAAGATATTTGATTTTTTACAGTTTTGTTTAAGATTGTTTATTTGGTGTTCATTTAAGTAATTGGTTATTCTTTGGGATATTGGAGTAAGTAGAGGGTGTTTTCGAGCTAGGGCTTGGTTTTTGGGGCTGATATTTTTGTTTATTAGGTTTTGGATTAGGGGTTTAGATTGAGACGCAGCCCAGAAATTTAGGGTTAATTGTTCCCTACGTAGATTTAGTGGCATTTCTCCTGTTAAGGCCTGGAGTGAAGTGTAGGAGGTGCCATGTTGAGTGCGTGTTATTAGTAAATTTTAGAGCCTGATATTGGATTGAGTCTAGTTTTTTGCTTAGGGATTGGTTTAGGGTGTCGTATATGGCACATCCGTAGTCTATTTTAGATCTAATTAGTGATATATAGAGTGAGAGGAGGGTGTCTTTGGAGGCCCCCCAGTTTGAGCCAGTTAGGCATCTTAGCGTATTTAGATCTTTGGTACATTTAGTTATTAGATTATTTATGTGAGCGTCCCAGGAGAGATATTCATCGAAAATTAGTCCTAAGAATTTTGTTTGTTTTAGGTATTGGATTGGTTTGTTGTTTAGCTAGAGTTTTGGGGAGGCGGGTTTCATGTTTTTGTGTTTAAATACTATTCCTGTAGTTTTTTCCGAGTTAAGGGAGAAGCCCCATTTGTTGGCCCATTGCTGTATTTTGTTTAGAGATTTTTGAAGTAGGTTTTGGGCCATTTTAATGCTTTTTGTGCGGATCCAGAGGGCTCCATCATCCGCGAATTTAGATGTGTTTATTTTAGGGGATAGGCCCTCGAATAGGTCATTTATCATTATATTGAAGAGTGTGGGGCTGAGGATACTGCCCTGGGGAGTGCCATTTTCTAGGGGACATTGGTCTGATAGCGTTTGGTCTATACCCACGGTTATTTTACGATTGTTTAGGAAGTCCTGGATGTAGTTTATTATTTGACCTTTGAGTCGTATTTTTTGTAGTTTTTGTATAAGCCCGTCGTGCCATACCATGTCGAAAGCTTTGGAGAAGTCTAAGAAGATGCCTGTAGTATATTGTTTGCTGAGTTGTCCTGTTTTAATGTCCTGCTCTAAACGGGCGAGGTTATCTAAGGTTGAGCGGCCAGGAGTGAAACCACTTTGATCTGGGTTTATGATGTTATTTTGAGTTAGGTAATGCTGTAGTCTGTTTTTAGCCATAGATTCCATTACTTTACATAAGTTTGAAGTTAAGGAAATTGGTCTATAGGAGTTAGCCTGATTAGATGGTTTATTAGCTTTAGGGATTGGTATGACTAAGGCCTGTTTCCAGGCAGTAGGTACTTGTCCGTTTTGATAGATGAGATTGTATAGTTTAAGTAGTGCCTGGAGTAGGGGAGTTTAGGTGGGAGTTTTTTAATTATTTGGTAGGAAGTTAGGTCCAATCCTGGGGCTGTGCCCTTTTTCCTGTTTTGGATGACGTAGAGTAGCTCCTCCATTGTGTAAGGGTGGTTTATTTCTAGGTTGTCATTATTTGGTTCTTTGGTGGATTTGTTTTCTGTTTTAAGTTTATCTTGAAATTTTTGGCTAAAGTTGTTGTTACTGATTACGGCCGAAAAGTGGTTGGCGAGGTTATTTGCCTTTTCGGCGGGGTTTGTTGAATTATTAATGTTAGGTGTTTTTTTATGACGTTTTAAGCCTCTAATGGCGTGGATTTTGCGCCAGACCGTTCTGGCGTCTGTA